GGAGGTTGGGGGGGGTGCGGTCCCATCTTCCGTCGTTCCTCCGCGGGCCATAGGGGGGGGCAAAGTTGGCGGATGTGTTCCCCATCGCTGGGAGTGACAAGCGCAAACCTTCCTGTGAAGGCGCATGCGCAATGGGTATTGAGTTGGGCATGGGCATGGGGTGGCGGAGGGTGGTGGTGCGGGTGGTGCGGATGGTGGTGGTGCGGATGGGGAGGGTGGTGGTGGTGGTGTTAGTGGTGGTGGGGGTACGCCGCGGGCGGGTTCGGCTGCGGCGGCGAGGGGGATTCGGGAGAAGTTGAGTAAGAGTATGCTGCAGTCGCGCAAGACGCTGGAGCAGTGTCTGGCAATTTATACGGAGGATATGGACCGTGCGGAGACCCGCGAGGAGGTGGTAAAGTATGGGGGTTTGGCGGTGCAGTATGCGGGGGATTTGTTCAAGACGCTGGGTTGAGCGGCGAGGTGGTGTTGTTTTGTTCTGCTCTGGGCAGTTGAGGGTTGTTTTGTTTGGGGTGGGGGGTTCGACCCGGAAAGCTGGGGTGCGGGTTTGGAGACTCAGGTGGTCCTGTTGGGGCGGCAGCTCACCGTCTTGTGTGGTTCTTAGGAGGGTAATACGGAGTAGGTACCCGATGTATTGTGTATCGCGAGTCAGGCAGGAAGGTACCCCTGGTGACTTTTGCGTGTAAGATGTAGGGCCAGGGCAAATAAATGAAATTGAGAATCATGATATCCATTTCTGATGTTATGATTGCATGTCTTTCGAAGTTCCTATTGTTTTGACCCGAGTGCCAAGATCCTGACCTTCGGGATCGAGCGCCTTCCGAATCGGGCTCATTCGGTGGCAAGTGGGGCCGGCCATAACCGTCGTTCCTGCTCTTTCGTCTTTTTTCCAAGTTCAAACTGGAACACTCCATTTTCATCTTTCCTCCAATGGACACCAGATCTATCCGGACGCGCGTAGCCAACGCTTGTGATCTCTGCAAGTTGCGAAAGATCAAATGCAGTGGTGCACAACCATGCGCGTATTGTGTGAGGCGGCGACTGCCGGACGACTGCCGTTACACCGTTTCGCGACGCCGGCTGCGGCCCCGCTCTGATGACATCGCCGCTCAGGACCGGGAACGCCCTTCTCCCTCGGGGATAGCCCATTCTGTTTCGTCACGTCACACCCGCCATAACCGGAACCTGGATTTAGGCCCCTCATCTCACAGTCACCATTCTACACCGACTCCGACGCCGTCCCATTCCGCACCGCTTGGCGACGGCTCACCCCGCGCCTCGCTTGCACCCGTCGACCCGGCCCTGCATTCCGGCCCCGAAGAGCCATTGCCCCGGGACACCGTCTTTGCCACCCTCGAGGAGCACGAGGAGACCGAAGTCCCTCGCGAGGCCCGCCTTCTTTGTGACGCCCAGGGCAAGCTCATCTTCATCGGGGACTGCGCGCCACTGTCCTTCTTCCAAACCGTTCGGAGGCTTGTGACGACGCGTGTCGATGCCAACGCCTTCGCCCCCGAGACCAGTGGCTACTCGGCCCTCGAGAATGTTTATTCGCGCCCTGGAACGTCTAGCAGCTACGGCGGGGAGCCACCGCCAATAAAATCGCCTACGGGACCTACCGTGTCTGCTTACCTTGACGTGACGGCAGGACTCATCGACCTCTTCGACAACACCCGTCTTGCCGACGATATCGCCGCCTGGGCCGAACACACTCAGCCGCGTGACAACGCCGTCGATGTTCCCTCGGCGGTGAATTACCTGGTGCTCGCCATCGGCTGCCAAAAGTCAGACGAGCACACCGCCCAGCTGTACTTTGACTATGCCCGGAGCGTGGCCTTTGCCAGTCTCAGCGCCAATGTGGGGGTTGCCAGTGTCCAAGTGTTCATCCTCATCACAATCTACTCGCTCGGCGCATGCCAACTCAACGGCGCTTTCCTCTTCTTTGGCATTGCAGCCCGAGCGGCCTATTCTATCGGAATCCACCGGGCGGCTGTGAATGTTAGGTTCGACCCCGAGGTGCACCAGGCAGAGGGACTGCCTTTGGAAGAGCCTGAGAGTGGTGGATCTGTTCCTCAGCACATCCATGGGCCGCCCACCCGCTACGTCGGACGTTGATTGCACGGTGCCGTGCAGGGCACAGGACGACGCTGGCCACGAGAAATTTGACTTGCTCAACGCGTCCGCCCAGATCTTCTTGGTAATCGAGGCTATCGTGGTGGAGGTCTACTCGCGGCGCAAAATCTCGCCGCGGCTGACCGAGGGCATCTCGCGCGAGCTGCGGGATTGGTCAACCCGCTGGCTGCACCGTCTCAAGGATATCGTGGACGGGACGTCACCGGAGGACCGGCCAGGGATGGCCAACGGCGCCTGCCAGATTCTCTCCTCGTACTACTATGCCGTAATCCTCGTGTCACGGCCTTTCCTCATGGTGGAGCTGCACCGGAGGTTGTCAGAGGGTGTTGCCCTTGCCGGCGCCGGCCTCACCGGCAAGTCCAAGCTCGCCGATGCCTGCATCGACGCGGCCATTCTGATGGTCGAGCCCGTCCAGAACCTCATCCAGCGCGGCTCCATGACGCGGCGCGCCCCAGTCATCATGTAAGTCACTCCTCCTCCTCCCCACTCATCCAACCACTAACCCCCCTCTTCTTTTCCTCCCGTTATCAGCTCCTGGCTCTTCGCCTCATCCCTCGTCCTCGGCGTCGGCCTGCTCGGCGGCTTCGGCCGCATCATCGAGAAGCACTGCCGCGCGAGCATCGCCGCCCTCGAGTACTTTGCCCAGGCCGACGCCCACGCCCTGCAGTACTCGCTCATCGCCAAGTCCCTGCTCGCCACCGCCCTGCTGTACCTCGAGCGCAGGGAGATCCGCGAGCGCCGGCTGCGCGCCGAGAGCTCGGCCCAGCTGTTTGGCTTGCTCCCGAGGGGGTTGCGCGGTGGTGGTGGTAGTGATGGTGGTGGTGCGGGTAACGAGGATGTGGGGGGATGGCAAAGTGGTGATGGGGGTGCGCAGAAGGGAGGTGGGCGGTTAGGGGGGAAGGTTCGTCGCGAGGCGGGGGTGGGTGGGGATGGTGATGATGGGGAGGAGGAGAGGGAACCGCGGTTTAACTTTGACTTCTTTCTGGGCTTGAACGATACCCTCCCGACGACGCCGGGCTTTTCGTTGATGGGCGGGGCGCTGGATGCGGACGCCGAGGCGGAGCAGACCTTTGGCGCCCTCAATCTCTTTCCGTTGTTGGAGACGGATGGGCATATTGATTTGGCCAACTATTTTCTGAGTTTGTTCTTGTTTGGTTGCTAGGTTCATGTTAGTGGTAGGGATACCATGACTGTGTATGTTGTGGGAGGGATGCCATTGGGATGTTGTGGTGGAGATGCGAATGCCACTGACGTTGAGGTGGAGATGATGGTTATTAAGATAGTTGCTGAGCGGTGAAGAGGGTGCCCTGGCCGTCTAGCTTCTCGGCGCTTTGAGCGCGGAAGATCGACATTTGAGGGTCGCCAGCAAGATGGGTGATATTCAGCCAGGAGAATTAAAGATGCTCGGCGCTGCGTCATAGTTGGGCGTTTGTGGCTGCCAGAGCGGATTCCAGGGGTTAAAAAATGCCCAGCCGGGAGGCGATCGCCGGTGGAGAAGGCCGATCGGAGTTTCATCTCCATTGTGCGGGGGTTGAAGTGTATGTGCGAAGTACTGGACTGTGTCTGTGTAAAGGATTATACCGTGTCTCCGTAACACTTGAGTCGGGTCTTTGCCGAGTCCTTCAGACGAAGACTGACAACTCTCGACTTCCCGTGAGAAGTACCGATGGCGCACACCATGAGACAGATGTCGTGGGTCTCACTTGTCATGCAGGGCTCGAGTGACGCCTTGGCCGTTGGGTGGTTCGGTCGTGCAGACGGCGCTAACCACGCAATTTGAGGCAGTGCAAACTCAAACGGCAAACAATTCCCCTCACATTCAGACATCAACCTGGCATGGACTCCAATGGCAGGTTTCAAGTCAGGGTTGCACCCCAATGTCTTGTTCATCTTCGTTTCGGTAGCGAGGGGGCAATGGGGCCATCGACAATAGGTGGCTCGTCTCAGCTCGACTCGACCTGCGCTGGTGAGTGCGACGTTAGAAAAGGTGGGTGTAGCCGGCTTGGCGCTGAACGGTTTCCCCTGTTCCCTGTCCCCTGGGAAAAAAATGCATCATTTCCCCTTCGAGAAGCTGAGGGATGAGGGAGGAGGGGCGCTGCGCCACCACGTTGCGCCAATGTTTTACAGAGTTTCTCTTCGACCACTCCATCGAGGCCATCTCATTCGCTGGCGGTAGCAAGCGACCCTCCGAAACGTCGTTGGTGATTCAGCGCTGGACTGGCTTGAGATTGGTACAGAGTACGGGACTTCATCTTGCAATGGATGACGGGAAAACAACCACTGTGTACAGTGCCCTGTGAGAAAGGGGCCGAGACTGTCAGACTGTAACACTGTGATAGGGTTTCTTCGCGCGCGGGAGGAAAAGACGCCTTGGGACATGAATTTGGGGGCCAAAGGGGCTAAACCAGATCGGTTCTGCAAGACCTGCGTTGGCTCCACCATGACAGGATTCAATGGTCTGGCCAGGCACATTTTATGTTGCATTTTGCCATTCCAGGGACGTGGGGGGGAGGGAAAAGAAGATGTGCAGGGACTGTATCTCCGTGGCGCAAAGAAGTCCGTCACGGCTGTCCACCTCGTTACGGGAGGCAGGCGCAGCATGTGCTCC